GCCCTCCTCAACCTTCAGAAATGCTGGGATTACAGGTGTGAGCCACCGCACCTGGCCACCATCTCGTTATTTTCAAAAATAAATAACATTTGCTTACATCTTTGCTTTCTCCACTCATTTTTTTTTTTTTTTGCTCTGAATTGATATTTGCATACTTATTTTTTTTAACAATCAGCAACCAACAGATACTCAGCTTTCCAAAGATTATGATATCATTAAAAGGAATATAGCATGATCTATTTTGAACCTGAACTGTCTTGCACTAGTAATTTACTGAGTGTTTGACAAATACAGAATATCACTTTTTCCCTGTAATTTAGAATTTCCTGTGGTGCCCTTGCGAGATCTCTACAGAATCCCAGGTTGCCTTGGGCACAGTTTGGGAACTGTGATCCTAAACTGTTAATACGTTAGTGTACATGCTTTTAGACATTTTTCTCCAAAGATTCAAGCATATGCATGTAGTTTTCCTTTTAATAAAAATGGGCTGGTACATATTGCACAGCAACTTGATTTTTTTCATTCAACAGTGTATCATAGTAAAGGTAGTGGATTGAACATATACACTTAATTTTATGCCAGCCTGAAAATTTCATTAAAACAATAGTAGACTTCAAACAAACAAACAAACAAACAAACAAACAAACACTAGTAAATTACTAGTGCAAGACAGTTCAGGTTCAAAATAGATCATGCTATATTCCTTTTAATGATATCATAATCTTTGGAAAGCTGAGTATCTGTTGGTTGCTGATTGTTAAAAAAAATAAGTAAGCACAGTGGCTCACGCCTGTAATCCCAGCACTTTGGGAGGCTGAGGCGGGTGGATGAGGTCAGGAGTTCAAGACCAGCCTGACCAATATGGTGAAACCCTGTCTCTACTAAAAATACAAAAATTAGCCAGGTGTGGTGGCAGGTGCCTGTAGTCCCAGCTACTCAGGAGGCTGAGTCAGGGGAATTGCTTGAACCTAGGAGACAGAGATTGCAGCGAGCCAAGATTGCACCACTGCACTTCAACCTGGGCAGCAGAGCGAGATTCTGTCTCAAAAACAAAAAACAAACCAAAAAAACCCTCACGATAACAACAGGAACGATGAGCATAATAACAATATTGTGAAAGCTGGAAAGCAGAAAAGACTAATGGTAACGAATTCACCAACTTGAAAAAGCTGTATTATAAACCAACAGTGGAGAGAGCCTTTAAATAGTCATGTTATGTTACCAAACCCTGTAAAAATTTCAGCGTTAGCTGTGTCGTGTACTGTGAAGGTGAAGGTGGATCAGAAAATATGAGTTGTTTGAAAGTCTGTTTCAGAAAAGACTGAAACATCTGACCTCCCTTTCTTCTCCCCGTAGACATAAACAGGGTAACTAGAGACTATCTGGAGTAGAAAAGAATTATTATCTGGACAAAGGAATACCATGCATAGTTAAGCCTGAGGTATTGTGCCTTATAAAGGAACCTAGTGGAAATTTGTATACTGAAGGCAGAAACCTCTAGCCTTTTTTCCTGACTTAGTTCTCAGAATCTTGTCCCTTTCCACTATTTCCCATTCACCAAAAGCAGCCTCTTTCAAGTTTAAGCTATTGTTTTGGTATAAACAACATGTCTTTAAATTACTTTTTTATTATTTTTATTTTTTGAGACAGAGTCTTGCTCTGTTGCCCAGGCTGGAGTGCAGTGGCACGATCTCAGCTCACTGCAACCTCCGCCTCCCGGGTTTAAGCAATTCTTCTGCCTCAGCCTCCTGAGTAGCTGGGATTACAGGTGCGTACGACCATGCCCAGCTAATTTTTGTATTTTTAGTAGAGACGGGGTTTCACCATGTTGGTCAGTCTGGTCTTGAACTCCTGACCTTGTGATCCACCCGCCTCAGCCTCCCAAAGTGCAAGGATTACAGTCATGAGCCACCACGCCTGGCCACCTTTTGATTTCTATTTATTTATTTTATTTTGAGATAGAGGCTTCTTGTTGCCCAGGCTAGAGTGCAGTGGCACGATCTCTGCTCACTGCAACCTCTGCCTCCTGGGTTCAAGTGATTCTCTTGCCTAGTCTCCCAGGTAGCTGCGATTGCAGGTACCTGCCATCACACCTGGCTAATTTTTTGTATTTTTAGTAGAGACAAGGTTTCACCATGTTGGCCAGGTTGGTCTTGAACTCCTGACCTCAAATGATCCTCCCACCTTGGCCTCCCAAAGTGCTGAGAGTACAGGCATGAGCCACCGTGCTCTGCCTAAATTACTTTTCATAATGTAACTTTTGATAATTTATGCTTTATCTGTTGATGAACATTGTTCTTTTTCACATCTGTTCCCTGCATCTGTGTGCATGCATACTTCTTATCTTCCCTCCAAGATAACACTGTATCTTCCCTCTATAGTGATGCCATAATTTTTCTAGAATTAATTTCCCTGAATGGGGGGGCAGCACTGCCATCCCAGGTGAGTTAATTCTTCATTGTTCTGTTTATTGCATGATATTTAGCATCCTTGGACCCCAGCACTAACTGTCAATACCAACCTCAATGCATTACAGCAACCAAGAATTTCCCACATATTTCCAAACATTGGGTTGGGGTGTGGTATGTAGTATCTGGTTGAGAAACATTGGGTTAGATCAGTGTGGAGCTGATTACTATTATGTAAATGGTAGTTATAGTTAAGTCATGTAGTATTCCAAGGTTTACAACCACTATTATCCCTTTCTTGTACATTTTTTTCTTGCCCCTGAAATTAATTGTTTTTATCTTTTGTTTAGTGTTCTCTGTACCTACTAACTGCAAACTCTCTTTTGATTGTATCTCCTTTATTTGCATTCTTACACTTTAGAAATTCTATGAGTATCACATTCTTGGAGCCTTTTGACCACTCCCTTCAGGATTGGTGGCTCTCCAGGCTTGAGGCACATTGTCATTCTGCATCTATTTTTACTGTTAGGTTTAGTATTCTCTTTGCTAGACCCTTGTTTTGGATCTCATTGCCTGGATCCTGTGTCTTCTTTACTTACTCCCTTATTTGCCAGAGTATCTCTGCATCCTTCTCAGAGTACCTGTGACTCTCTGAGAAAGATGCATGAGAGTTAAATATTTTGATAACTTACATCTCTGAAAACCTTTTTCTCTTATTTTTTGTGTTAGTTTCAGTCTGTAATTCTGTGTTACTTTCTAGGAGATTGCCTCAGAATTTTAAATGTTTTAAATTTTTGGCCCAGTGCGGTGGCTCACACCTCCCGAGTAGCCAGGACTACAGGTACGCACCACCATGCTAGGCTAATTTTTGTATTTTTAGTAGAGACAGGGTTTCAACCATGTTGGCAAGGATGGTCTCCATCTCTTGACCTTGTGATCTGCCCGCCTTGGCCTCCCAAAGTGCATTACAAAGTTTTCCTATATGCTTCACCTAGCTTTGCTCCAGTTGTGTGTTTATTTGTTTTTGTAGACACATTCTTGCTCTGTTGCCCAGGCTGGAGTGCAGTGGCGTGACCTTAGCTCACTGCAACCTATGCCTCCTGGGTTCAAGTGATTCACCTGCCTGAGCCTCCTGAGTAGCTGAAATTACAGGTTTGTGCCACCATGGCCATCTAATATTTGTATTTTTGGTAGACATGGGGTTTCACTATGTTGGCCAGGCTAGTCTTGAGCTCCTGACCTCAGTTGATCCACTCACCTCAGCCTTCCAGAGTGCTGGGATTACAGGCACGAGCCACTGCACCTGGCCTTGTTTTAGTTTTTTAAGGAGACAGAGTCTTATTGTGTTGCCCAGGCTGATCTTGAACTCTTGGGCTCAAGCAATCCTGCCTCCACCTCCCAAGTAGGTTGGTCTACAGGTTGCACCTCTGAACCTGGCCTCTCTAATGTTACAGAACTATAGCACATTATCAAGGCTAGGAAATTAACATTAAGAGAATACTATCAACTGATCTACACACCTTATTCAAAGTTTGTCAATTGTCACTTGACTATTGACTATTGACAGGATTATACCTTGCTTAATTGTTTTCTTCTTAATCTCAATCTTACATTCTAGGACAGTTCAGTGTGTCTTTATCTTTCAGGACTTTGATTGACCCGACTGAAGAGTATTAGCCAGTTATATATTAGCCAGATATAGAATATCTCCCCAAATTTGGGTTTGTCTCTTGTTTCCTCATGATGATGATGATGATGATGATGATTTTTTTTTTAGAAAATCTCTCTCTGTCGCTCAGGCTAGGGTGAAGTCCTGCCATCTTGGCTCACTGCAGCCTCTGCCTCCCAGGTACAAGCAATTCTAGTGCCTCAGCCTCACTTGTAGCTGGGATTGCAGGTGTGCACCATCGTGCCTGGCTAAGTTTTGTATTTTTAGTAGAGAGAATGTTTTGCCATGTTGGCCAGGCTGCTCTCAAACTCTTGACCCCAGGTGATCCACCTGCTTGGCCTCCCAAAGTGCTGGGATTACAGGCATGAGGCACTAAGCCAGTCTGGTGATGTTAATCTTGATCATCTGATTAAGATGTTGTTTGCCATGTTTTTCCATTGAAAGTTAATCTTGGCCTGGTGCAGTGGCTCACCCCTCTAATCCCAATACTTTGGGAGGCTGAGGTAGGTGGATCATTTAAGGCCAGGAGTTTGATACTGGCTTGGCCAATATGGTGAAACCCCATCTCTACTACAAATACAAAAATTAGTCTGATGTGATGGCATTCACCTATAATCCCAGCTACTTGGGAGGCTGAGGCAGGAGAATTGCTTGAACCCAGGAGGTGGAGGCTGCAGTGAGCAAAGATTGTGCCACTGCACTCCAGCTTGAGCGATAGAGTGAGACTGTCTCAAAAAAAAAAATTATTCTTTTTAAGTATTTTGTGGGAGATACTTTGAGACTACCTATATATCTTGTTTCTCACATTTTCAGTCTCTAGTTTTAGCATCCATTGATGAGTCTTCCTGAGTCAGTTATTTCTGAGAGAGGTTGCAAATTATAACTTTGTATTCTTTTTTTCTCTTTTTTTTTTTTTGAGACAGAGTCCCTCTGACACCTAGGCTGAAGTGCAGTAGTGTGATATCAGCTCACTGCAACCTCTGCCTCCCTGGATTCAAGCAGTTCTCCTGCCTCGGACTCCCAAGTATCTGGGACTACAGGTGCATGCTATCACCCCTGGCTAACTTTTGTATTTTTAGTAGAGATGGCATTTTGCCATGTTGGCCAGGCTGGTCTTGAACTCCTGACCTTGAGTGATCTGCCAGCCTCGGCCTCCCAAAGTGCTGGGATTACAGGTGTGAGCCACCCCACCCAGCCTAATTTTTCTATTTTTTTCTTGTTATTAAGATTTTATTAGGTATTAATTTTAAATTGTTAAATATCTATAAGGTATTTATTAAGTATTCAGTAATGTCACACATTAAATATTAAGTATTTAATATTTAAAATATTAATTTAAATATTTGAACAGTAGAATTAAAAGTTACACATACTTTGGTAACTTTTCTGTCATTCTTTCTATATTAATTTGAGACTCTGTGTAAGGAATAGCTGTCCCTTCTGCCTGTTTGTTTAGTTAGTTTTTTACATCCCTATAAACAAGGATATTTACTTTATTCTTGGTGCCCATTCTTTTTTTTTTTTTTTTTTTTTTTTTTTGAGGCAGGGCCTTGCTCCATTTACCAGGCTGGAGTGTTGGAGTGTGGTGGCACAATCAGGGCTCACTGCAGCCTCAACTCCCTGGGCTTAAGCCATTCTTCTACCTCAGCTCCCCAAGTAGCAGGGATTACAGGTGTGTGCCACCACACCTCACTAATTTTTTTGACTTTTAGTAGAGATGTCTCACTATGTTGCCCAGGCTGGTCTTGAACTCCTGAGCTCAAGCATTCCTCCAGCTTTGGCCTTTCAAAGTGGTGGGATTACAGGTGTGAGCCACCATGCCCAGTCTTGGGTCTGTTATTTATTACTCTCATTTGTAATGATAATAATATAATGGTAGTATTTGGTTGCTCAAAGTTTCTTGGCCATTATAAGTGAGGCCTTTCAGATTGTCTTCTGTGTCCTTTTGTTTTTGTTTTTGTTTGTTTGTTTTATTTTTTGAGATGGAGTGTCCTTCCATCACCCAGGCTGGCGTGCAGTGGTGCAGTCTCAGTTCACTGCAACCTCCACCTCCTGGGTTCAAGCAATTCTCCTGCATCTCCCACCTGAGTAGCTGGGATTACAGGTCTGTGCCACCACGCCTGGCTAATTTTTGTATTTTTAGTAGAGAGGGGGTTTCACCATGTTGACCAGGCCGGTCTTGGAACTCCTGAATCAGGTGATCCACTCGCCTCAGCCTCCCAAAATGCTGGGATTACAGGAGTGAGCCACCACACCCTGCCTCTTGTGTCCTTTTGACATTTTTTTCTCCAGCATTTCTTTATCTGTATGTATATTAAATACTATAAGTTCATACTGATAACTGATTTCAGTCTGGCACCATGAATTCATTCTCACTTTGTCTCCTGTTATTTGTAATTTCTTTCTCTAGCAGGAAGAAACCTAGCTCTGTCTACAGTGTATTTACTCATTTGCTCAATTTTAGAATACTTGTTTCAGAATTAACTCATATTTCTATGAAAAACAAATTTGCTAACCAGTGTACCAGACTTGCATGTAGTCCTTTTGTCTTTACAGTCAGAATATTGTTTTCCTGAGTTTGCTGCTTCTCTACTCCTTTAGGGTAGTTACGGTATTCATTTGAAATTCAGTTATTGTTTGTGTTTCATTTTGGATTCCTCTGCATTCTGGTTGGTTTTCATTATTTGTATACTTAAAAAATATGTGAAACAGTATCATGGTCTGAAAAGTTGGAACTTTACAAAAAGGCATATTCAGAGAAGTGCTACTTATCTCATTTACTCGACCCTTTCCCAATACTTCCATTCTTCTCACCTTATTCCCACCTATCATGAAGTGGCGTATTATTGATGTTCATTTGAACTTTGCTTTTATCACTTAATGATATATCCTAAAAATCACTCTATATTAGTTCATAGAACTCATTCTATTCTTTTATAGCTTTATTCATTGTGTGCATAAACCATAATCTATTCAGCCACTCTATGTGGACATTTAGGTTGTTTTCTCTTTTTCTTTTCTTTTCTTTTTTCTTTTTTTTTTTTTTTTTTTTGAGACCAGATATCACTCTGTTGCCCGGGCTAGGGTGAGAGTGGCACAGTCTTGACTCACTGCAGCCACAAATTCCTGGGCTCAGGTGATCCTTTAACCTCAGCCTCCCGAATAGCTGGGACCACAGGGACACACCACCACACCTGACTAATTTTTATATTTTTTATAGAGATGGGGTTTCATCATGTTGCCCAGATTGGTCTCAAACTCCTGGGCTCAAGCAATTCACCCACCTCAGGCTCCCAAAGTGCAGGATTATAGGCTGAGCCACAGTGCCCTGACATTTGTTTTTCAGTATTTTGCTATTATAAACAATGTTGCAATGAATAGTCTTGTACATGTGTGTATTTGTATTATTGTAGACATGTCTTCAAGGTAAATTCCTTAAAGTGGGGTTGCTAGATTAAAAGGTAAATACTTTTGTAGTTATTAATGTTACCAGATACCCTCCAAAAAGATTGGATCGATTTGTATTCTTCACAACAAAGTGCAGAAAGGCCCCTCTTCCCCATCAAGAGAATGTGTTACAATTTTTGCCAATTGTCTTATGAATGAAGTTGGACATCTTTCTTAAGCTTAAGGAACATTTAAAAAGCTTTATTTATAAATTGTCTCCTTACATCTTTTTCCTACTTTATATTACTCTTTTTTTCAATTATCTCTCAATTTAAGAGTTCCATGTGTTAGGGATATTAGCCTTTTATAATACATGTTGCAAATTTTTTTTTCTAGTTTATCGGTCGTCTTTTTATTTTGGTCATTTATTTATTTTTTTTAACTTCCAAGCTTTCTATTGAGATTTTAATTTCTGCTATTATTTTTAATTTTTAAGACTCCTTTCTTATTTTTGGCAATTCCTTTTAAAAAAAATAACATCCTGTTCTTTTTTCCAATGGATATATTTGCCTTTGCTTCTTTGAAGCTAGTGTTAGTTTTCTTTTCTTCCTTCTTTTTTTTTTTTGAGACAGAGTCTTGCTCTGTTGCCCACGCTGGAGTGCAGTGGCTCAATCTCAGCTCACTGCACCTCCACCTCCCAGGTTCAAGTGATTCTCCTGTCTCAGCCTCCTGAGTAGCTGGGATTACAGACATGTGTCATTACACCCAGCAATTTTTTTTTTTTTCCAAACAGAGTTTTGCTCTTCTTGCTCAGGCTGGAGTGCAATGGTGCGATCTCAGCTCACCAGAACCTCTACCTACTGGGTTCAAGCGATTCTCCTGCCTCAGCCTCCTGAGTAGCTGGGATTACAGGAATGTGCCATCACGCCCGGCTAATTTTGTATTTTTAGTAGAGACGAGGTTTCTCCATGTTGGTCAGGCTGCTCTTGAATTCCCGACTTCAGGTGATCTGCCCACCTCGGCCTCCCAAAGTGCTGGGATTACAGGCATGAGCCACTGCACTTGCCCCCACCTTTTTAAAATCATGGTAAAATATATGTAATATAAAATTTACTATTTTAGCCTTTTTTAGGTGCACAGTTCATTGGCATTAAGTACATTGGCATTGTTGTGCAACCATCACCACCATGCACCTCCAGAACCTTTTCATCTTCCCAAAATGAAATTCTGTGCCCATAAAGTAATAACTCCCTTTCTTCCCCTTCCCTGTTAGTTTATAAAAGTTGACTAACCTATCTTTTTTTTTTTTTTCCTTTTGTCTGTTTGTTTTGGTCTGCTTTTTATCCCTAGAGGTCTGGTGATTCTTGGTCATCCTTTATTTTTTATTTTATTTTTTTTTGAGACTGAATCTCACTCTGTTGCCCAGGCTAGAGTGCAGTGGTGTGCTCTCAGCTCACCACAACCTCTGCTTCCCAGGATCAAGCCAGTCCTGTGCCTCAGCCTCCCAAGTAGCTGGGATTACAGGCGTGCACCACCATGCCCAACTAATTTTTGTATTTTTAATAGAGATGGAGTTTTCCCTTGTTGGCCAGGCTGGTCTCGAACTCCTGACCTCAACTGATCTGCCCACCTTGGCCTCCCAAAGTATTGGGATTATATACACGAACCACCATGCCTGTTTAGTTTTTAAGAATGACCACTAAGAAACTGCTTGGAAACTCTTAACACATGGTGGGACATGTCAACTTTGGGCTATGTTGAGCCATTTTGTTGTGGGGGGAAATATCTGTATCTCTATGGATTTTTTTTTGTGTGTGTGGACTGGTTATATTCTCCAGAGAAGACTTTTCCAGTCTGTATGGATAAGACAGACTGCTAGCATTCTGGGAGATGAGTGACAAAGAGTGCTTGGGGCCTCGTATCAGTATATAATTCCATCTTCAAACTGTACCTGGAGTTTTTCTGTCTACAGACTTTCCATTTTACTCTTTTTGAAGGATAAACTTCCAATCCTAGGTAGGGGAGGGTCACTTACCTGCCATAGTGGAATTAAGTAGGGATCTGGAGTCAAATTGCTTCTTAAACTTTAGGTTACCTGTAGCTTGTTTTGTTGAGATATCCCCAAATATCACTACCTGTTGGTCTTTTCTCTTTAAATGATCTGTTTCCCCCAGGGACTGTTCGGCTTCTTGGAGGTATAGAGCTTCTTGCCAGTCTTATGGAAGCTGAGTGGGGAAGGACTTGTATTTATCTTCCTAGTATGCTCCTGTGCTCAGCTGTACATGATATACCTGACCATCCTGGGTCATCTTCCCCAGAAAGTGAAATTTTCATTACCTGCCAGGGTAGGAGATGGTAGACTTTGAGCCAGCCCTTCCTTTTCAGCACCATGCATACTCCTGACTTTCATACGTATATGTTGCCTCCACTTCTGAGCTTTTCTGCTTTCTGAGGTCCTATAGCTTCTTGCTGCTGCTGCTGCTGCTTTTTTATTTTTTTGAGATAGAGTTTGACTCTTGTCTCCCAGGCTGGAATGCAGTGGTGCAATCTTGGCTCACTGCAACCTCTGCCTCCCAGGTTCAAGCAATTCTCCTGCCTCAGCCTATCCAGTAGCTAAGATTACAGGTACCTGTCATCACACTTGGCTAATTTGTTTTGTATTTTTAGTAGAGACAGGGTTTCACCAAGTTGACCAGACTGGTCTCAAACTCCTGACCTCAGATGATCCACCTGCCACAGCCTCTGAAAGTGCTGGGATAACAGGTGACAGCCACCACACCCAACCCTGTGTTCTCATTTGTAAAATGAAGGAGGGGGAAGGGAGAGGAGACCAAATACCACTTAAGACTGATTCCATATTGACTTATTTATAATTTGCTTATAGCAGAATAATTTGTTTCATACAGCAAATTTTTAAAAGAAAGAGCAGGTACTTTTTCTCTGTATAGTCATGCGCCAGTAGATATTCAATAAATCCATGTGGTGTCAACATCTCAAGAGGGAGGCCAGCGTCCTCTGTTACCAGTCAGAGATGCTCTGAGTAGCCATGCAAGGACAGGACTCTATCAAATGCTCTTACCCAGTGATGGTTCTGGATCCCAAGTAAATATAAGAAAAAAGAACCACCACAAGCATACACACATATACTGCAGGAACATATTATAGAGACAGCAGATGGAAATGAATGACAGTCAAAACCAAATAGTGATTTCCCTTCAATATTTAATGAGATCTAATATTAGTGAAGGCTCTTTAGTCTGGAAAGAAAGGCACTAGTCACTGCAGGTAGAGTGGAAGAAATAATAGCCTATAAATCAGAAGCCAGTATTCTAATTTCAGCTTGCTAACAATTTATTAAGAAAAGCTGCATTACTTTTCTGTGTATAAGTTTTCTCTGGGGAAAAGAATGGAGGGTGAACACATGTTTACCTCAGTTCCTTCTCCAAATCACATTGAGGTTACAGAAATAAGATTTTTTTGGTTTTTTTGAGGTGGAGTTTTGTTCTTGTCGCTTAGGCTGGAGTGCAGTGGTACGATCTCGGCTCAATGCAACCTCTGCCTCCTGGATTCAAGCAATTGTCCTGCCTCAGCCTCCCCAGTAGCTGGGATTATAGGTGTGAGAATTACAGGGCTCAAGCGGTCCTCCCATGTCGGCTACCCAGAGTGCTGGGATTATAGGTGTGAGCCACTGCGCCTTGCTGGAAATGATTCTTTAAGTATTTTTCTCAGAGGCAGATGTACAATAAATGGCTTCTTGTTAGAGTACTTATGTTCTCCCTCCTCTCCAGTTTTCATTGTGATGAAAACCTTGGTCAGGTAAGATTTCATTGTGTCTAATAGTCTAAATTGAAGCATATGTACTCTTTTTTTTTTTTTTTTCAATTTTCTACCTTAATTACTGTGAATATCTCTTCATGACCTCATTTTTAGATAGAAATATAACCTCCTTCTCTTCTTTACAGCTGCATCCAGATCTCATTATGCATCAGAAAAATGAAAAAACAGAGGAAAATTCTATGGAGGAAAGGAATCCACTTAGCCTTTTCCGAGAAATGGAATACTGGGTTTGGAGGCTTTAAGAAGTTTTATTTTCACCAACACTTGTGCATTCTGAAAGCTAAGCTGGGAACGCCAATTACTTGGAATAGACACTTCAGACGTTTCCAGTGTAGAAAGAAAGCCCTTCAAATCCAGAAAACGTGGATCAAGGATGAACCCCTTTGTGCTAAGACCAAGTTCAGTGTGGCTACTCAAAATGTTAGTACTTTGTCCTCTAAAGTGAAAAGAAAGGACACTAAACACTTCATTTCCTCTTCAAGAACTCTTCTGAGACTCCAAGCAGAGAAGTTGCTGTCATCAGCAAAGAATTCTGACCATGAATACTGCAGAGAGAAAAATCTCTTGAAGGCAGTTGCTGACTTTCCATCAAATAGTGCTTTAGGTCAGGCCAGTGGTCACAGACCTAGGACAGAACCACAAGCTTCTGACTTTCCCATGAAGTTCAATGGGGAGAGCCAAAGTCCAGGTGAGAGTGGCACGATTGTGGTCACCTTGAGCAACCATAAGAGAAAGTGCTTTTGTTATGGCTGCTGCCAAGGGCCGGAGCGCCACAGGAATGGGGGACCCTTGATTCCAAAAAAGTTCCAACTTAACCAACATAGAAGAATAAAATTATCTCCTCTTATGATGTATGAAAAATTATCCATGATTAGATTTCGGTACAGGATTCTCAGATCCCAGCACTTCAGAACCAAAAGTAAAGTTTGCAAGCTGAGAAAAGCCCAGCGAAGCTGGGTGCAGAAGGTCACTGGGGACCATCAAGAGACCCTTAGGGAGAACATTGAGGGTGGCAGTTGTAGCCCATTTCCTTCCCCGGAACCTAAAGACCCTTCTTGTCGGCATCAACCGTACTTTCCAGATATGGACAGCAATGCTGTGGTGAGGGGGACGAACTCTCATATGCCTGATGGCCACACTAAAGGAAGCCCTTTCTTGGGCAAGGAACTTAGTTTAGACGAAGCATTCCCTGACCAACAGAATGGCAGTGCCACACATACCTGGGACCAGTCACCCTGTTCTTCTCCTAAGTGGGAGTGTACAGAGCTGATTCATGACATCTCCTTACCAGAACATCATTCTAGTACCATGTTCATTTCAGAAACCGAAAGAGATATTATGACTCTGGGTCAGGAAAATCGGACAAGTTCTGTCAGTGATGTCAGAGTAAAACTGTCAGTGTCTGGAGCAGATACATCTGTAAGTAGTGTAGATGGGCCTGTGTCCCAAAAGGCTGTTCAAAAGGAGAACTCATACCAGATGGAGGAGGATGGATCTCTCAAGCAAAACATTCTTAGTTCTGAGTTGCTGGACCACCCTTACTGTAAAAGTCCACTGGAGGCTCCCCTGGTGTGCAGTGGAATCAAACTAGAAAATCAAGTAGGAGGTGGGAAGAACAGTCAAAAAGCCTCTCCAGTGGATGATGAACAGCTCTCAGTCTGTCTTTCTGGTATGCACTTTTCCTTTATTCTCTGTCAAACTCCAAGCTCACACCTGCTGTCCATTATCCTTGCTTGTAATAAGAGTTCTATTTTTTTCTCCCACACATGGCTTTTTCTTTAAAGCAGATAGTCTTTTTTTTTTTTTTTTGAGACGGAGTTTTGCTCTTGTTACCCAGGCTGGAGTGTAATGGCGCGATCTTGGCTCACCGCAACCTCCGCCCCCTGGGTTCAGGCAATTCTCCTGCCTCAGCCTCCTGAGTAGCTGGGATTACAGGCACGCGCCACCGTGCCCAGCTAATTTTTTGTAAATTTTAGTAGAGACGGGGTTTCACCATGTTGACCAGGATGGTCTCGATCTGTTGACCTCGTGATCCACCCACCTCAGCCTTCCAAAGTTCTGGGATTACAGGCTTGAGCCACCGTGCCCGGCCCAGATAGTCTTCTTGAAGCCTTTTATATTGCTGCATTATGTAAATGTTCCATAATTTAATCTTTAATCTCATAGACACTTGCATTGATTTCTTTTTTTTTCCCGTAATTAATAGTGTGACGAAATTATTTCTTTTTTTTTTCTTTTTGTTTTTGAAACAGAGTCTCGCTCTGTCACCCAGGCTGAAGTTCAGTGGTGGGATCTCAGCTCACTACAACCTCCACCTCCTGGTTCAAGGATTCTCCTGCCTCAGCCTCCTGAGTAGCTGGGACTACAGGTGCATGCCACCACACCTGGCCGATTTTTATAATTTTAGTAGAGATGGGTTTCACCATGTTGGTCAGGCTGGTCTTGAACTCCTGACCTCAGGTGATCCACCTGTCTTGACCTCTCAAAGTGCTAGGATTACAGGTGTGAGCCACCATGCCTGGCTACTCTTTTTTGGAATATAGGAGGTGCTCCTATGTACTAGGCATTGTGCTGTTTGCCAAGAACGTAGCAATGAACAAAATACATGACCTTCAGTGTCATTCTAGTCATAAAATTATTATATTAATTGTTTATTATAAATGTCATAAGAATGGTCCCTCCAAAAAGGTAAAAGCTTTTAGTACCCCAAAATCATTTGATATTTTTGCTTAATAGAAAATTTCAGTTCTTACATAGTGAAACTTTTTTTTGTTTTGTTTTTGAGACAGAGTCTTGCTCGTCTGTCACCCAGGCTGGAGTGCAGTGGCGAGATCTGGGCTCACTGCAACCTTCACTTCCCGGGTTCAAGAAATTCTGCCTCAGCCTCCCGAGTAGCTGGGACCACAGGCACACACCACCATACCCAACTAATTTTTTTTTTTTTTAGTAGAGACAGGGTTTCACTGTGTTGCCCAGGCTGGTCTTGAACTCCTGAGCTCAGGCAGTCCTCCCACTTCAGCCTCCCAAAGTGTTAGGATTACAGGCATGAGCCACCATGCCCTGTCTAAAACTTATCTATCTTTAAATTTGTGGCTTCTAGTTCTTAGTTATGCTTTTTAAAAAGACTTCTCTTGTCAAAACTATCCCATTAAGTAAATAGGTATAAACATTTTTTTGGAAGACAATATGATAGTATAAATTATGGCACAATCAGGCAACAGTGTGCTATGCAGCTGTTTAAGAATGTAGATCTAGTCTGGGCATGGTGGCTTATGCCTGTAATCCCAGCACTTTGGGAGGCCAACGTGGGTGGATCATGAGGTCAGGAGTTCAAGACTAGCCTGGCCAACATGGTGAAACCCCGTCTTTACTAAAACTACAAAAATTAGCCAGATGCAGTGGTATGTACCTGGAATCCCAGCTGTTTGGGAGGCTGAGGCAGGAGAATGACTTGAACCCAGGCGGCAAAGGTTGCAGTGAACCAAGATCATGCCACTGCACTCCAGCCTAGGCAACAGAGTGAGACTCTGTCTCAAAAAAAAAAAAAAAATTATCTATCTATCTATCTATCTATCTATCTATCTATCTATCTATCTATAGATCTAGATCTAGATCTATATTTTGATACTGAAAGATGTCTGTGTAAACTGAAAATAGGCTGAGAGTGGTGGCTCATGCCTATAATCCCAGCACTTTGGGAGGCCAAGGCGGGTGGATCACCTGAGGTCAGGAGTTCAAGACCAGGCTGGTCAACACGGTGAAATCCCGTCTCTACTAAAAATATAAAAATTATATATTTTTTAAAATTTTATTTTAAAAATAACCCAGGCTTGCTGGTGCACTCCTGTGATTACAGGCGTGTAATCTCAACTACTTGGGAGGCTAAAGCAGTTAGAATCACTTGAACCTGGGAGGTGGAGGATACAGTGAGCCTAGACTGCACCACTGTACTCCAGCCTGGGTGACAGAGCAAGACTCCATCTCAAAAAAAAAAAAAAAAAAAGAAAACAGCAAGTTGTAAAATGGTATGAAACCATTTTTTCTTAAAAGGTATGTATATGAATATGTGTATATATGTGTGTGTATGCATTTGTATAGGACATATCAGGACAGATACATGGAATTATTACAAATAGCTTTTGGGCACTCGTTAGGAGGGTTATTTCTTGGTAGTTCAAACAGTTCTGAGGACTTTATTTTTCCAGCCACTACGTATAAGAAATTCTTTCTCACAAAAAGGCACGAAGTACAGAGTCTTAGCACATTAAAAAAAAAATTCCATCTATCCTCTTCTGTTCTAAAATAAAGACAGATTTCCCTACTGAGGTTAGCAGGTTCATGATAAATAAACCTAAAAAAAATTAGCATTTACCCACAAATGCCAATTAACCCTTATAGATGTAACAATTCCAAATACAATCAATAAGTTGAATATGCACATAGTAAAACAGGTAGCATGACCTGAGGAAGTAGGAATTCTTACAGAATTAACATTTAGTGATGATATAATTCATTATTTTAATAGGCTAAAGGAAAAAAAATAATGTTATCTCAGCAAGTGCTGAAAAGCCTGTTAGTAAAATTGTTTCCTGTTATGTTTAAGTCTCTTAGACAACTAGTAATAAAGGAGGCTTCCTTCACTTACAAAAGAATATCAGGGCCGGCTCGGTGGCTCACGCCTGTAATCCCAGCACTTTGGGAGGCCGAGGCGGGTAGATCATGAGGTCAAGAGATCCAGACCATTCTGGTCAACATGGTGAAACCCTGTCTCTACTAAAAATACAAAAAATTAGCTGGGCATGGTGGCACGTGCCTGTAATCCCAGCTATTCAGGAGGCTGAGGCAGGAGAATTGCCTGAACCCAGGGGGCGGAGGTTGCGGTGAGCCGAGATCGTGCCATTGCACTCCAGCCTGGGTAACAAGAGCGAAACTCCATCTCAAAAAAACAAACAAACAAAAAGAATATCAATCAGAAACCAATAGCAGTTCTAGGTTTAAGACAATGAAGTAAGTGCATGGAATCTCTTCTTTCTACTACCAAATCCATAGAAATTATGAAAAATATATTGAAAACATGTGTCTTCATACTCACAAACAAGGAAGAGAGAATTTTGGTAGATTATAAACTCAGAATCAGCTCCCACTGGCCAGAAAATAGAGGGAAGGTCCAGAGGGGCAGAAGGAAGATTAGTGCAGGGAAGTGGTGTGACACTGAGTGCCCATATTTCTGGAGAAGGTGGAAGTGGAGAGGAAAAGGGACACCCATGGTAAAGACTAAGTAGTTGGGGAATTTCTCCCTGCCTGTGCCACATATCAACAAAGAACAAATCTGTTATCAAGCCAAAATTCTCAGAACAAGAGACAGGATACTCTTCCACACACATCCACCTTGTAACACTTGGCAAGAGTGAGGAACATCTGTTTTCAGAACAACTGCTGGGGTTCTTAAGGTCCTTATTCCCACTGAAAATAGTTCAAGGCAGAGCAGCAGCTACTGCCCATCATAACCCTTTGCCCTCCATTCTCAGCAAGTTACCTAAGTAGAGATGAGCTCACAGTCTGTCACCATCATCTGAGAAAAGTCAACACAATGAAATAGACAAATTCGACAAATAACAGAACTAAACCTCAATAACGGTTAATGGGGCAATGAGTATAATAGATGCTCTTTTAACTGACTTCTACAACATTAGCCACTATTGAGTTCTATGATATGCTAATGCTGGCTTGTCTTTAATATGACTGCACATTGTGCTCCTTTCAGTTGATTTATATCTTTAAGAGTCAATTATACTTATGGTAATTGACTTATTGCAGCTTCATTATTTTATTCAGTATTAAATAAACTGATGAAATATGAAGAAAACTCCTCCCTTGAAAACCAGTGGAATACTTTGTAATGACAGTAGCAAGGTGCTGTAAAAATTAATACTGAGTTACACTTAGGTAAGACAACTGTAAAAGATTTGAGTGAATGTATGAAAATGTAGGACTCTGTACTGAGATTACTTGGCAAATTCTTATAACTTCTTGCTTCACTTTAAAGTTGTAACCTCCATGTCTTGGGTATGCCAGGAGATAATGGAAGGGAAACTGAAGAAATTAGGAGTGTTTTTTATAACTGAAAATAAAGATCTGAGTCTAAAGTTGAAAGGCTTTGTAAGTGCCAGTCGAGATTAAAACACACACAAATACATACACAAACTCACACTAAATTTTGTGTAGTAAAATTATAGCACATTAAGGATTAAGAGAAATAACTTGGACAATTACTTCTTTTGGAGGGAAAAGGGATAGATTCCTGTGCCACAAAACATTCCAGATGGATTAAAAGTTTGGCTAACTAGAACCAAATACACAAAAATGTGTACAAAAAAGCTTATAACAGCATTATTCATAATAGCCAAAAAGTGAAAACAACCTAAATGTTCAACAACTGATGAATGGATAAATAAAATTTGGTATATCTACACAATGGAATATTATTCTATAAAAGGAATAAGTACTGATGTATACTTAAATGTGGATGCACCTTGGAAACATGCTAAGTGAAAAGCCAGACACAAAAGACCTTGTAACATACGATTTCATTCATTTGAAAAGTCCAGAATAGGCGCATACATAGAGTTATAAAGTAGAAGAATGGTTGTCAGGAGCTGTGAAGAAGGG